TTATTTCATGTCTGTCGCATTTCGAATTTGAAACTTAATAAACAAAGACAAAAAATGCGGGAGGGAGGGATAATGGTAGACGAAGAAGAAGAAAAAAGAATTATAGAAAATGGCGAGAATTTTAGAAAAAAGGGAGGAAAGAATGAGAGAGAAGAAAAGAAGAAGATAAGAAAAGGAAAAGAAACAGAAGTAAGAACAGAAAAAATTGAGAAGGGAATGAAACGGAATAAAAAGAAGTAAACAAAAAAAAAAAAAAAGAAATGAAAGAAAGAATAAATTACAGAGAAGTGACATGAAAGAGAAGAAAAAGACATGATAAAAGAAGAAAGAGAATGAACAGAAGATATTAAGAAGTGAATGAAAGTGAAGGTAAAAAGGAGAAAAGAGCGGAAAAAAGATAAAGAAGAATAGAAATGAAGAAGTGAATGAAAAAGACAGAAAAAAGAAGAAAGACAATGAACAGAAGATATTAAGAAGTGAATGAAAGCGAAGAAAAAAGGAGAAAAAGAAAGAAAAAAGAAGAGAAAGAACAGAAGAAATGAAGAAGTGAATGAAAGAGAAGAAAACTGACAGGAAAAAAGAAGAAAGTGAAGGAACAAAAGATATTAAGAAGTGAATGAAAGAGAAGAAAAAAGAGAGGACAAAGAAGATAAATAAGAGAAGAAATGACAAAATGAATGAAAGAAGGAAAAAGACAGGAAAAAAGAAGAAAGAGAAGTAAGAACAGAAGAAAATTAAGAAGTGAAAAAAAGAGTAGGAAAAAGAAAAAAAGGCATTAAAAATGAAGAAAAAGAATGAAGAGAAGATATTAAGAAGTGAATGAAAGAGAGGAAGAATTAAACTGGGGGAAAAGAAGAAATATGACAAAAGAATTAAAAGGTGAATGGAAAAGATGACAAGAAAAGGATAAAGAAAAATAAGAACAAAGGAAAAAGTAAGGCATAGAAAAGGTAAAAAGAAAGTTTTAAAAATGAAAAGAAAAAACGACAAGCATGAATAATAATAATAATAATAATAATAATAATAATAATAATAATAAAGGCCGGACATTATTGTCAAAAACCAGAAAGAAAAAACTTGCCTACTAATTGATATGGCTTGTCCAGCGGATTGTAACATAGCAACCAAGGAATTTGAAAAACTATCAAAATACAAAGACCTGGAAATTGAAATAGAAAAAATGTGGAAATTGAAAACAAGAATAATACCAGTGGTAATAGGTGCACTTGGAATTATAAAAAATGGAACAAAACAACACATTGAAAGAATCCTGAAACCCCAGCTTAAGAGACATACAGAAAATTGTCTTATTAAGTACAGCACACACACTAAGGAGAGAACTTTGTCTATGTAACGCTAGCAACTTCATCGGAGATAAAAAAAAAAAAAAAAAAAAAAAATTAACATGAAATGTGGCCATAACAACACACCACGACCTGCCTTAGGTCTTTCCAGACTTGGTAGGTAGTGTGTCCATAGCAGAAATCGAATGATGATGATGATAATAATAATAATAATAATAAATAATAATAATGAAGAAGAAGAAGAAAAAGTGAAGTGAAAACAAAAAATTGAGCAAAATGAACAAGCACTGAATGAAATTGAAAGAAAAACAACATATACATACATACATAAATACACACACACACATAATACAAAGGAAAAAGAAAAGGAGGAACATAAAGAAAAATAGAGGGTATCGAAAAAAGATGTAAAAAAGAAGAAAAGGGAAGGAGGATTGACGACAAAATAAAAACTAGTATGAAAGAAAACGGGATAAACGAAAGAAAGAGAAAAAGCAATATGACGAAGAGGAAGAAAAAAAGAAACAAAAAGAATTAAGAGATATAGTGATGAGATAAACAGCAAAAAATGATGATGATGATGATGATGAAGAAGAAGAAGAAGACAAGATGAGGAAGGCATATACCTAACAATACAGCTGTAAAAGCAAATAAAATATGAAGAAAATAAAAGAAAAAATAAAGCGAGAAATGGTTTGAATGACATAAAAAATTTTTTATGTTTTTGGTTCGTACGAATTTCAATATTTTCTTGTCTTTATAACGTTTCGGCCGTGTACCCTCCGGCCTTCCTAGGGTTTCTATTGTGTTCAGAAGGCAATCGTATACAATAGTTAGTAAAATGCGGAACTGAGAAGGAGATATGTAGATTTTTAAAATTAAGAGGCGAGAAAGCAGAAACAATGAAAAAAAAGAAAAAAAAAGAACAAAACAAAGCAAAACAAAAAACAAAGTAAAAAAACATTGGAGTTCGGAGAACAACCATGAAGAAGTCATCATCCAGATACGCGAAATGACTCGAAACTTCACTTCATTTTTAAAAAAATTAATTCTATTTTCCATATTTAATTTTTCTCAACTTCAAATGCTTTAAATCGCGATTTATTAGTCCCGCCCCCCACCTCCCGCCCAAGAGAGTTGAAAGGTGAGTCGATCACGCCTTGGAGCAAACTATTCGTCACCACCATTGTTTTCATTTCGGGATTTGTGATGTTCAAAGACAAGAAACTTGGCGTCAATCTTCATCTAAAAAAAACCTTCCACCAGCCCCACAAGTTCCTATTTACACTGTTTTATGCCTAACGAGCCTTTAAACGAAGACTGACCATTTTATATTTGAAGACAAGGTCTTCAAAAATTACTTGGGGTAATAGAATTTGCGATCGCCACGGGAACAAAGAAGTTCTAGTTAATAAATAAATAAATAATTACGATTCTTTTATTTCGGGCGAGACGGGTTGGCGCGCTAAAGCCTATGAAACTAAACAATGTTGAATTTTTTTTTTTCTGAAAGAGAGTTTTTGTTTGTTTTATCGGGTGTGTGAGAATGAAGAATCAACTCTCAGACTTCTCTCTCTTTTTGACCTTCTTTCTTTTAATGCTACAAACTTGAGAGTCTGTGTTCCAAACGCAAGAAACTATTGATTGCAAAGAAGAGAGTGAAATAATAATCAACAGAAAGAAAGAGCTTATAGAAAAAAAAATGTCATAAAAATCTGTATTAAGCAGGTTCCTTTGTATTTTTCTTTGTTATTATAACGGCAGCTGAATAATATTATTTGACAAGTGAAAATGCGGGAGAGCTTTTCACTTACCTCCAATTACGATGGTGATGGACTCCCTTGCATTTATTTTCAAATCCCAATCCCTACTTTTTTTTTAATCCTAACAATCTAAGGAGTCGAATACTATTGTGTCATAGCGAGAAGAAAGAACTATTAACTTTAAGATGACAGAATGTATAGCCGTCAGCAAGAGAGAAGGCTTAGGTCAACATATCAAAAATGCTTTCCAGAATCTAAGCAGAATAAAGAGAATATTCATTGCTAGAAAGGAAGAAAAAAACTGCCGAATTGCTATGTCATCGTTGCCATATTCTGCCAATGGAAGAAGTTGAATATCATTGTCATTTTTTTTTTACATTGATGTAAACCCTGTACAAGGCCCGGGGACCACTCGAGCTAGATGGTTATAGAGTAAGAGGTACATTTTATGCAGATAATATGCGGAAGATAACGGTTAACCCGAGATTTGAACAGGTTAAGAAATTGTAATGATCGGGGAAACAGCTTCTTGGGAATCGATTCCAAAAAGCAGCGGTTTGTGGGAAGAAACTGCTCGAGTAGAACTTACATCTCATCAGATTTAGCTCTTATAAAGGTAGGGGATAGCATGATGAGCCAGATACTAGAACGGTATAGAGAACCGATCATTTTCTCAGCATCTTTAGCGATGAATCCTATGTATGGGTTCCACTTGAGGACTCATCAATTTATAGTTCAAATGGCAAGATGTAACCGTAAGTTCTATGCTAACAGTTCCTTCTATCGCACTTCTCACTTGCGGAACCCTCTTCCTGTTTTTTTGCTTTCCGGTCTGGTCTTCAAAAATTTAAATGCGAAGTCAGTTCGTATCTTCTGCCTTCTTAATTCTTATTATTTTATTGTCCTTTCTCTTTAATAGTAGTTTTTCTTTTTCTTATATTCTTTCACCCTTAATAAACTCCTTGTATCTTGGCAGTTTAGGTCTCATCATTTTTACAGTTCAAATGGCTAGATGTAACCGTAAGTTCTATACTAACAGTTTCTTCTGTCGCACTTCTCACTTGCGGAACCATCTTTCTGTTTCTTGCTTTCCAGTCTGGTCTTTAAAAATTTAAATGCAATGTCAGTTCGTATCTTCTGTCTTCTTAATTCTTATTATCGTATTGTCCTCTCTTCTTAAAAAGTTGTTTTTTTCATATACAAAGAGAATGAGGTTGGTTCGCTACAATGTGTGTAGCATGTCGAGTCTTAGTCTTGTTAGAACTGATGAAACTATGGCGTGTAGTTCATTTGAATGCTTTCGATGGAAATAGCAATAGAGCAGTGAGAGTTTTATGATGTTTCGTCTGAGTTGCTAACAGTTTTTTCTATCTCTCTTCTCGCTTGAGGAAACATCTTCCTGCTTCTTGCTTCCCAGTCAAGTCTGGTCTTCAAAAATTGAAAAGCAATGTCAGTTCGTATCTTCTATCTTCTTAATTCTTATTATTTTATTCTTCTTATATTTTTTCACTCTCAATATACTCCCTGCATCTTAATGTCTTTGCTTGTGGGTATGGTTGTTGCTTTAAGTTGAGTCCACCCGAAGATGTAAAGAAAACAAACAAGACCGATATATATATATATATATATATTAACAAATATATGTATTAAACAACAAGATTTACAATGGACATAGACATTAACATTTGTGTCTGTGTGTGAACGTAAAGAGTTTGTATTTTGGTGAATGTTCGTACGTATGTGTATGTGAGTGCGTGTTTCATGGCGTTTTCCCACAAGTGGGCAAAACGCAGGTCTTTGCGAGAGATTACATTTTGTAAATGTGTCCGCTGAAATGCAAAATAAAAAGAGAAGAAGCAAGAAGTCGCTCAGTATTTATAGTGTAGCGAGAGCGTGCCCTAGTGACAATTAAGAAATTAAGGAGGAGATAACTCCGACAAGAAGACCGGAGAGGAGTCTGAACCAGAATGTGCTTTTTATATTATTTTATACAGTGTAACCCGGATATAAGAGAGATTTTCTCTGGTCCCAAATTAGAGCCTGTGTTAATGTATAATAGACCAAACCCGGATATAAGAGAAACCCGGATATAAGAGACTTCTTCTCCGGTCCCGACAAATCTCTTATATCCGGGTTACACTGTATATGATGTACACGTTTATTTATTATAGCAGTGATATACTCGTAGAAATCATTTTAAAGTGGTTTTAATTTTAATATGTATAACTTTAAATTTCTTTCGAAAATAGTTTTAATAACCTTTTAAAAATTTTCGCAGCACACGAGTGTGCCGTGGCACATCGGTCGAAAATCACTGATAGAGGAAAATGAGGGAAATATATTTCCAGATTTTTTAACCTCTTTGCATGAAAACGACCAACAAGGGTCGAAACTACACATAATTTCGGCAAGTGTCTTCACAATTTTCATGTCTGACGTAAAACGACTTATTCGACATCAAGCGAAACCCATCAAACACAAGGCATTCTTTATTCAGTGACGTGCAAAGATGGGATGTGACGGAGCGGTGGCCCCGGGCGGTACTCCATGGTGTGTGTGTGGGGAGGGGACATCCGATGGAGTATATTATTTTTGTTGCAACAAGGGCGGCGATAAGGGAGAGGAAAAACTTTTATGTTTTTATTTAGCAAATACACCTAAAATTAGATGTTAAAAAATAAAATATTTTTTAATTTTAGATTTAAAATGTCTATATTTGTCTGCTGGTATCTACTTGAACCCAAAGTTTTTTCACACCTATGTGGGAAGGTCAAGATTTTGGCGTCAGTTCTTTCATTTTGATTTTTCATGTCTTTGAACTGGTAATGAAAAGAAAGTTCAGACGATATAAAAGGGAGGTGAGGAGATAGAATGCCATAAAATCAAAGACTACTTAAAAAAAAAAAAACTTAGTTATTAAAATAGTTACATTTTCATAGTCGTAAACTTTACGACGTAAAGTTAACTTCTTTCAGATTAAAAAATGAAAAATCAATGGAAATTTGACATCAACATATGTGTAGCTACCTTCATGAAATCGGTACAAAAAGAGCATAACATGATAAAAACGGCTTTAAACTAGATGAAAACGAAATTTTATTGTCTAAATGTTTATGTTATTATTAAGAGGAAAGACCAAAGTATTTTTTATTATTTAAAAAATTTTTGCAACCTTTTTACAACATTCTAACTTTTGATTAAAAAAATCATATTTCGCTTTGCGAAAGTGTCATTAGTAAATTAAATAACACTGCAAATTTTAGCGTCTTTTTTTGCAGTGAAAGATGTAAATTTGGAAAATCTTGCAAAAAAAAAAAAAAAAAAATACGGTCGGATTTATTCACAAATCATTGAAATTACCTTAAATATGTTTTTATTTTGAAAGTCTTGGTAAAAATATATTTTTTTTACATCTGTTACCCTCCCCCAACTAATTTTATGAAAACTCTAACAATTAAGTACTGTTTTTTTTAGTGAATACATTAGTTAAAAGCAGAAGACTTTGAAAAATTTCAATCATAATTTCTTTGGTAAAATCAAGAGACCAGTTACCGAAGTTCAGCTCTGAATTGTAACATAAAAACTCAATAAAACAAAGATATTATTTAATTACAAAAGTTTTTAGTTTCTTTTAGTAGCTTCTACGAATAAGAACAATATTGTCTGAAAATATTTTTGATAAAAAATAAATTTTTACAACAATTATTATCATTTTTTTATTACAATTTACACTTTCTACATTAAAATTAAGTATTTTAAAATTAGTGAAAAACTCTGTTTTTTAGGCAAATGTGTTATTAAATAGATATTTCTTTACAGATCATAAGTTATAAAGATTATTACAATCTGTAACAGTAACATTGCTTTTGTGTCTATAAAAATCGTTTATTTCAAATGTACGGAAGTTATGAAGTAAGACAAAAATCAAGTGGTTTCATAGTTGTTTTCCCCTTACGGCCACTTAGATTTCTTCACGAAATAACCGAGAAAAGAAGTTCATCTGATTTGATCTGTGCTTGAAGCTAAAAAAATCTAGTGAGTGCATAGGATGGCAGATTATTATAGGACTAAATTTATTAAGTTTCAGTGATGAATATCCTCAGGTGATAAAGGAAGGAATTCATCAAACAACAAGAATTGCCATTGTCTGCGATACCAACATTTAATTTTTATACGTTTATTGTTACTTGACTGAAAAAATAAAAAAAGTGAAAATAATTACATAATTAGTAAAAGAAAAATCATTTTCAATACTGTCATGTAACTAAGAATAAAAAAATGGTATAAAAATTAACATTAAAAAAATGTATAACATTTCAAATGAGAAAGATATCTACAGTTATTAGCTTCCTATTCTATGAATTTTATATAGTATTATTTTTATGTTATGTCAGTTATGGCATTTTTTATGAGATATTTTAAAAATTAATAAATTGAGCATAAAAATAATAACTTAAAATTTCATAAGTGTACTTAAAATTATGCCATAATTTTATGTACAAATTATATTATGTATATAAATATTTAGAATTTAGGTAAAAATGGCAGCGGTAAAAATGGCAACGGAAAAAATGGCAGCGGAGAAAATGGCAGCGGAAAAAATGGCAACGGTAAAAATGGCAACGGTAAAAATGGCAAAAGTGGATAATTGGTAAAAATGGCAACGGTAAAAATGGCAAAAATGTATAAATAAGAAAAAATGGCAAAAAGAAAAAAAAATTATAGATGAATATCTCACAATGAGTTTATTAAAATCTTGGATACAATACATAATGGAAAAAACATGAGAGAAGTTTGCCAAATTAAAAAGAATATTCAGTTAAAGCTCCCCACTCCCATGAGATTTTACTTTTTAGGCGATTACGTCTGAACACACTGAAAAACTTGGGAAAAACAATTATAGGTCTACTTGATGAAACCGGAAAACAACAACAACAACCCCCCCCCAAAAAAAACCCAATAAAACATTAATTATTTCAGAGGTTATCAGACAACGACAGGGTCAGACTGGTGCCAGTAAAATTTAAAATCTTGTCTGATGCGTTTTCAATCTTTTAATACTCAAGTGTGAAGTCTCTGAGAAGCCTCATATCGACATTTAGTAAATAGGTGTGAACAGAAATTCAAAAGGTTTGCTGAGGAATAGGCTAAGTGAACTCTAGAATATTTACTTCGTTTACCATAATTTACCAAAAAAATAATCAAATTAGACTCTGAGAGTCAATACGAAATCTGTGAATGGGATTCCTAACCTTCGCCTTTGCGATTTTTCCGATTAATCGTCCCAACACTAATATATATATATATATATATATATATATATATATATATATATATATATATATATATATAATATACTTATTTTATATATATATAAATATATATATACACACACACACTAATACACTTATATATATATATACACTAATACAATTATTTTATACACTAATACACTTAATATATATATATATATATATATATATATATATATATATAATCCTAATGTCAGCTATCAATTATAAAATTAATTATAGTCATAAAATTCACTTAAACACGCTACGATTTGTGCTTTTACTGCAATTAGGAGTAGGAACCTACCGCCCCCACCCCACCAAATAAAACTTTGAAAGTCGACATCGAAAATTTAAAAAAATGTTTTTAATACTAGGAGCGGGAACTTAGCCCCTATTTAAAACAAGAGGAGAAGGAGCCTAGCTCCCCACCACTAGAGTAAATATCTATTTAAAAATATTTATTTCAAAATATTGAGGGGGGCGGGACTTAGCCCTATTTTAAACGAGAGGGATCATAATTTTCTGTTGTCGAATTGCCATTTTTTCCTATTTATCCACTTTTGCCATTTTTACCGTTGCCATTTTTACCGTTGCCATTTTTTCCACTGCCATTTTTTACGTTGCCATTTTTACCGCTGCCATTTTTACCGAGCACCAAATATTTAGGTACCTTCATGAGATCGCTAAAAAGAGTATAGCATGACGAAAAAGACGCCAAACTTGACGAAAACAAAACTTTATCATCTAAATGTTTATGTTATTATTAAGAGAAAAGATCAAAGTATTTTGGGGGTATTTTTTACATTTTTTAATCGTTCCTAGCACGTCCAAAATTTTTGTTAAAAATCTTGTTTTTTTTAGTCAGCAAAATTCACAGATAATCGATCATGTCAGGCTTTCCCCCCCGCCCCCAATGAAAATCTCAGTTTTAAAAATCAATTATAATTTTTTCAAAACTTAAGAAAATCAGAAATTATAATGTTTATTTAAAATATTTTGAACCGAGCTCAACTTAGTTTCTGTGCCGAAAAGACGTAGTTTGAAAATAAAACAAAGCAGGTCATAACATTTCGCGTTTCTTGACAGGTGACGAAAGGCATTCATGACGTTTTGATAGCTTACGTGAGGATAATTCCTTCTACAGAAGGAGAGAAGTAAAGTTATTTAGATTTAAGCGAACAAATTATTTACCTCGTTATTTTTAAAGAAAACTTTCAGCGCTCTAATTTTTTTTTTTTGTACTTAGCTTTCACCTTTACGTTTACGATGCTTTATCGAAAATATATTATAAAGAAATTAAAATAAGACTGTCAAAAGTGAGATTAAATTTCATAAGAAAGGTATCTAATTAATTTATAGATACCTTTCTTATTAAATTTTACCAGAAGTGTACATAAAATACAAATTTAAATTTCATAAGATGATACTGATACTTGTAGGTACCCTTCTCAGTTAAAATTGTTTTGCAAAAATAAATCTATCTCAAAAGGACATTTACGAAACTGAATGCGGCTTTTAACTAATCTTATAGTATTTTAACAACTTAAATGTAAAAATCTATTATCATTAAAGAAATAACAAATAATTGTATTAAAAATTCAGTATTTAAGTTAAATACTAGATAGAAACTCAATCCACGTGACGTTTTTTTTACTGCACGCATGATACTTCCGGTCTTCCGTAGATTTGATTTACCGTGTTATTATTGATACAAGTTATAATTTTTTAAATTTTTTATTTGTTGTTCGTTAGTTTGTAAGAAGCTTTGGAAATTATAATCTGTAAATATATATATCTACTTAATAACAACATTCGTTAAATTCTACAAACTTTTCCCTAATCTTACAAGAATTAAGAACATAATGTAAAAATAATAAAATATTTCAGAAATATCGAATAATTGTTTTAAAAATTCATTTTTCGTCTTTTTGCTTTCAGACAATATTGTCCATGTTCACTAAAATAAATAAAAGCAATTAAAAGCTTTTTCTTTTTGTTAATTCTTTTTTAAAGAAATTTAAAACGTGTTTTAAGAAAAAAATGAAAATCAATTGCTAGCATTTTTTAAAATTAGTATTTGTTTCATATTTAAAATTATATTTTTTAATGTAATGTGAAATTTTAAATTTTTTTCTTTGTAGAAGTAGATCTTTCTTCCAATTGTAGGGACCGTTGTTTTTTTCGCATTTCGCTTGGTATTCGCCTAAAATTTGGATAAAATGGAATGTTGGGCTTAATTGTATTTCTTGTCCTGGAATAAAATTTTAATTTAGTTTTTA